CAGCCACCTTCCCATCCGCCCTCTTATAAACAGTAACAACGACCGCACCCCCCAACCCCAAATTATGCTGCAACGCCGCATCCGTCCCCTTCACAAGCCTATTATTCGCCCACCCGCGCAAATGCCACACAAGCTCCGCGCACTGCGCAATCCCCGTCGCGCCAAGCGGGGTGGCCCTTCGAAATCAGACCCCCGGACGGATTAACAACCATCTTCCCGCCGTACGTAATATCACCCCTGCGGACCATCTCATGCGCCTTGCCGGACTCAGAGAGCTCCAGCGCGTCAATCGTCGTCATCTCGTTGGCCGAGAAGCAGTCGTGCAGCTCGCAGACTTTGACGGATTTCACGTCCACGCCTGCTTCGGCGAGGGCGGTGCGGGCAGCGTACCGGGCCATGTCGAAGCCCATCAGGCTGATGGAGCTGGTGTCGTAGACGGAGGGGGCGTCGGTGGCTATTGTTTGGCCTGCAATGAGGACTGCTTGGTCCTTGAGGTGTGGGCGGGCGTCGAGGAAGGATTGGGAGACGATGACGGCTGCGGCGCCGCCGTCGGAGGTGGGGCAGCATTGGAGTTTTGTGAGGGGGTAGTGGATCATGGGGGAGTTGGAGATTTGCTCGAGGGTGTATTCGTCTTGGAATTGGGAGTACGGGTTTCGCTTGGAGTGTTCATGGTTGATGCGGCCGATTTCGGCGAAGTCGGTGGGTTTGGCTCCGTATCTGGGTTATTTATTTGTTATATTAGTATATAACGGGATATCCCTTTTGGAGGGCGTGCACTGGGGGTTTATTATATCCTCACTTCTCCATGTACTCAATACCAGCATTTCCAAACATCTGCGCCGCACCAGGGGCATTAGTGACCCCACGAGTCTTCGCCATCATCTCTCCAAAAAGACCAGTCGGATTCGCGCGGTCATTGAAGTTGGCCGACAAACTGCCCGGATTCATCTTCTCAAAGCCAACGACAAGAACACAGTCCGCAGCGCCATGCGAGACCATCGTGCGTGCCATTGCCAGACCCGTAGAGCCCGTCGAGCAGTTATTGTTGACGTTATAGATTGGGATGCGGGTGAGGCCGAACTGGTAGAACACACGCTGGCCGCAGGTGGAGTCGCCGTAGCAGTAGCAAGCGATGCCCTGCTCGACGTCGTCATAGGATATATGGGCGTCCAGCATGGCCTTGACACCGGCTTCGAAACCCAGCTCGGTGTAGTCGACTTTGCCGCGGGGTTTGATGAATTTCGTCATGCCTACGCCTAGGACGTAGGCAGGGGAGGTTTGCTTTTTGGCCATTTTGAATGTATGTGTAGGTTTACATATATACATATATATATATATATATCAACAAAATTGTCTCCTGGAAAGGAGATATTTCAGTTATCCAGTAGGGAAACTTTTTGGGATGTTACCAGGGGGGTCGAAGTTAAAATCTATAATGTAGAGAGAGGCATATACTTGCAAGGTTTGGTAGATGAAAAGAAGGAAAGGAGGAAAGAAAAGAAAACCCTCGAGAATGATATAGCTTATTTTTATATACGAATTAAGCGGAGACAAAGAAAGCCGCGGGTAGTATTTTCGATTGCTCAGCTGTCCATGATATTGTAAATATCTTTGCGGGGAGCCCGAGCATCCTCGGTGCCTCGGAGCTTGGAGAAGGGTCGCCAGAAACAGTTTAGCTGGTGAGGCCCGCTGCAGCTATTCTATCCGCTGAGGAAGTAGGTAAGTTAGAATTGTTCAAAGAACAGAGAGAAAGACAAAGGATGACGATGCGGGATCAGATCGAACCAAAACAGAGAAAATCTCTTGCTATCAGGTCTAAGGAGGTTTCTTGAATAAAAAAAAATATAGGTAACGTAGTTAATGGATCACCTTTCCCGTGACCCGC